ATAACCATGAGAAAATCAACTCATGGGTTTCCTTTTCTTTCCCATATGAGTATGGGGCTCCGCTATTAGAAGTATAGAATAATTTTATTACAATTTTAAATTATTAGAATTGTAGAACTGTAGAATTGTTAGAATTGTAGAATTATGATATCATTATTTTACATATTTTTGTTTTTAGTTTATTAAATCGTGTGCAAGTAAAGGATTTTTGTCGTTGAAGTGTAGAGGTACAGGGCTGGCTTCCCGTGTCTACATTGTCATGGTAAATAGACCAATCCTTTTAGCTAGCTTTCTGGTCAGAACTAGCACTACTGTATAGCTCAATGCAACAGTCCATCAGTTGGCGAAAATTACCAACTTTTCAGCTTGCTGTGAATGTCCGATCACATTGATTAATTCTCAAATTTATCGGTTGGTTTAAGAGTCGCTACTGAACTGTTATTGGTTTATTTACTGTTAAAACGATACTCGTCGATTGCGAAAAACCAGAAACAAAGCTATCAGTTCAAGTTCTTTCCAACCTCACAGTATTCAACTAATTTATAGTAAGTAAGTAAGTAAAGTAAAAGCTTTATTAATGTGTCAATGTATTTAGTTTTCACAAATAATTGGGAACACAAGTGCATCCAATACTCAATGTACTGGGCTGTACTGGGCTCAATTTGACCCTGTCGCTATTGGTTATTATGAAAATGTTATTTTGCCGAGAGCTGACTTACTTTTATTTAATTACGTTGGTGTTATATATTAAGGACCCAGTTGCTGATTAGCCAACCAACAAAGCGGACAACGGTGTTTCACAATTAGCAGATGTTCAAAGGTTTTATGAATTTGTGCTGCTTTGAAACCTAAATTAATCGAGAAATTATACTCTGCAATAGACAATGCCATGGCACGATATGAACGAGGTCCTTGCGTATCTTTTTCGTTTAAAAAATTTCACAGTGATTAAAGTTTCACTTACCTTCGCATGATTGTCCTGTATTTTTCTAATGACGGTACATGTAGCATTTCGGAGAATACTACCGCTGTTTCTTACTACAGAGTAAAATCAGATCCTTTGGGGTTAATTTCAAGATCGGTTAACAATCTACGCATCCTGCTGAAGTCATCCAGCATTCCCAAATATCCTCTTCACACTAACCCGTGACGTGGCGACTTAGAGTCTCTCATGCATCCGTTACAAAAGATATTTGTGTACGTTGTTAAATTAGAACCAGTTAAAATCACAAAGCTGTAGTAAGACAGCCAATCTGCTCATGCTTCATTTACTTGGAAAATGAAAAGTTTTAACAAGTGCCAATCGAACATTTTATTCCACAATAAGCATTTAAACACTGAAACTGTCGAGGAAAAGGTTGTTGTTATTCATCGTGGTAGATGCAATAAGAAAGTGTATTATCGTTTGTCTCAC